CACACACACACACACACACACACACACAAAATTTAAAAAAAAAAAATGTAGGAGACTGCTAGTTGTTTCCCTGCAATGGGCTGGCCAGTTAAGCTGCATTCCCAGCTAGACTTGGTGGGAGTAAGTTCTTGATGTGAGTTTTGAAGGGAAGTGATGTGGTAACTTCCTGCTTATTAGCGTCAAAGGAATGCGCATGTCCAGGACCACCCCTCAGGGAGTGGAATTCAGATGCCAGAACTTGCTTCACCGATGCAGAAGAGGACAAGATGGTGGAACAGCGAGATAACCCAAGTAACTCCGAGGAGCCGAGCTGTCCCACCAGCCTGGCTAGCTAGACTATTGCTAAAGGGGAAATGAACTTAACTTTTTTGAAGCTACTGTATAATTTTTAACTTTTAGTACAAGTATTGTAATCATACAGAAATTTTCAGATGTCTATAAAGCTTGCTGGATTTCCAGAATGGGCACAAACTCTAGTAATCAGGGACTACATGCATAAGTGTAATATATCTGAGGATCCAGGTGATCTCTGTTATGCACTCCAGGCCTACTTCCTGATGAATTTGAACTATTGATTTTTGTTTTCCTACTTTATATAAATGGAATTGTGCTGTGTTGTGGTCAGTGGAAAATACGGCCACAAGTGTCTCCTGTTCCTGTATTTGTGACCCTTTGTAATGTGACTTCCTCTTACCAAGAGGAACCTCTGCATGTAGGCTGACCTTTTGATTTGGTTTGACCACGCAGTCCACAGGATTGGGTGCTGTGCACCTCTTGAGGCTGGGCCTTCCTTCAGACGCTTTGTAGCTTCTGCCTTTGCTTTCTTGGAACATTGCCCTCAGACCACCACATGAAGAAGATGGCTTAGGCCACGTGGAGAATGGGGTCACCTTGGGTCTTCACACCTAGCCTGCTGCAGCTTAGTGCAGCCTTGTAAGTAAACTCGGGTGAAATCAGGAAATTTCACAATTCGTGCTCATGAGAAATAATAAATCATTGTTCTAAGATACTGTGTCTTGGAGTGATTTGTTCTACATCAAGAGATTTAAGTGAATGAAGCATATACTTTTCTGTTTCTGGGAAGACTATTTGGTCAGAGTTTTGGTCAGATCTACATTTTTGAGATTGGTCCATGTTGCCTGCACCTCGAGAATATCTACCTACCTAGTGCTCCTTCCTCCTGGCCTTTTAAGAAAACATAATTATTGGGGCCAGGGAGATAGCTCAGTAGAATAAGTGCTTGCCAGGCACTAGGTAGGTAGATATATACCTTATTAGGTATTAGGTAGATATATACCTTATTAGGTATTGACGCTAATAAGCAGGAAGATATCCCTATCACTGCAGATAAGGGTCCATTGTGAAAATACTATAATTTGTATACTGATGGACATTTACATGGTTACTCCTTTGGAATGCTCACAGTGTTGCTCTAACTAGTCTAATAACAGGTCTTTGTGCTTATTCCAAAACTAGCAGCAACCTGGTAGGCTCTTAGAAATTCACACAACCAGTTTTAGGAGATACTGCTGAACAATTTTCCAAGGAATTTGTATCAATTTACTTCTTACAAGTTGTTCAGGAGAGTTAGAGTTTCAGTGGTTCACAGGCTTGCCAGTGTTGTGCCCTTGCGCTTTACAACCCTCGGTTTTAAAATGAGCCCAAAGATGTTGTAGATGTTCGAGGGCGCACCACAGGAGTGGTAGCTCCAGGAAGCAACTCTAGAAGGAAACTAGACCAACTGGTTTGGCCTCTGCTCCCCTACCTGACACCTCCAGTAAAGAGGTCAGATTTTAATAATAAAACTTTACATGTATACAGGGAACTATGCTTTACCTAAGTCCTTCAATAAACTAACACTGATTGGAGATTGTTTCTTCTGATCTGCAGAAAAGTGACTTGCCCAAGGTCACATAGCTTGTGGCAGAGCCCAGGTAGGCACTCTGGGCTTTGGACTTGCAGACTGGTTCACCCAGCAAGGCCCTCTCCTTTCAATAGGCCTGTTCTAGTGGTGATGGCCATAAGGGCGGAACGGGAAAGAAGCAGGAGGTGTGTGTACCTATGGCGTAAGTAACATTGATTTAAAACTCTCAGGGCCTGTAACACAGTGTCCTGCCTGTGTGAGGCTTGCACACAGACTGAAAAGCCCAGCTTGAGGTGATGAGTTCTGGTGCCACCTGGACTGCAGCCCCAGATACTGGGCTCTCTGTTATCACGAAATCATCTCTTAGTAACTGGCTGCCATTACACGACTAATAACCATGTACATGTTTAAAATGAGGCTGCATGAATTAATGGTCACAATTCACTGTAAGTGAAAGACACAAGCAACAGAACATGACGCGCAGCAGCCATGTCATGATAGAAGTGTACCGAAGGTCTGGAAGATATATGGCAAAATGGAAACGTTTTACCTGGATATTGAGTTTAAAGAATTTATTTTCTACTTTATGCCTTTCTGCTTTTTTGTTTTTTGTATTTTAGGGAAGGGTCTACAGGGTCTCACTGCATAGATGGGACTCGTAGTGATCCTCCTATTTTCAGCTTCCCAAGAGCTGGGATTACAGGCACATTTCCCCACGCCCAGTCTCAATTGCTATCTCAGCCATTCCCCGGGGCAGGGCTGGCACAGCAGGCCCAGGGATTGAGCCCCCAGCCCCCGTGCCTGCTTGCAGGTGCTTTAATCCACTGAGCTATTTGGCCAGCCTTCATTCTGCATTTTTTCTTTGAAATTAGAATATATTAATCTCATTTTTTAAACTTCATTTTGAGAGAGATAGTACCTTCACAGTCTCCATGAAGGGCTGGTGAGATGGCTCAGTGGTCTAAAGCACCTACTTAGAACAAGCTTGGCAAAGCACAGGGACTGCGGTTCAATCCCCCAGCACCACATGCCAGCCAGCCCTGCCCCCTGGTGGGCTGAGCTGGCCACACACA